CGGAAAGAGGTTCGGCGCCGGATCGCAGCTTAGTTTCGACCCAGAATAATAAGGAATGTACCATAGTTCCCACAGTTTAGGGTCCTTAAGGTAATGCAGGATGCATATTTCATCAACAGTAATACTAGCAGGTTGGCAATGGGCTTCCGAAAATTCGGGCCTCTTGGAGCCTAACTGATCAGAGTCCCTTTGCATGTGACGGAGCTCCTTCAGTGGAGGGCTGGTTGCTCAATCTTGGTTTGGGGGTGGGGTTTAGGGTTTAGGGTTTGGGGGTAGATGTTTTTTTCCACCAGGCCGTAAAACCGAAGCAAGGCAAAGGAAGCAAGCTTCTAAGACAGGAGCCTAATATCAGGAAACCTTGGGTTTCTATTGGGGCTCTTTATATGGATCCCAATATTTCGGGGTTATAGGTCCGGGTTTCTTTATCAGCTTTCTACATAGCCCGAAACACAGCCTTCAACCACGCACGGTACATGAATGCTCTGGTTCTCCGATAGCCCAAGGCAGAGTACAGTCACACCTTAAATTCTGCTAGTCGGACTTAGCATTCTACACCTTTGACTAAACCCCTAAACCCTAAACCCCCATTCTAAACCCCATGTCCCCACCAATTCTCCTGAGCCCGAAGTCAGGACATTCTCCCTACGACGCCCAAGGGGGTGGCCAGGCAAAGAGAGTTTCCTGCCACATGGAAGGGTTTGGAGTTTAGGACTGACGGCCTGCCATGGGTTGACACGGTTGATGATCTACATCCTGCATTATTCCCATAGTTTAGGGTCCTTAAGGTAATGCAGTAATTAAATCATCAAGCGCAGTTTAGGTTGTAGGTTTAAGCCCAAAATTTCATGGTGCATAAACTTGATTTTTGACACATCCTACACCTTAAAGATCAGGTTTGAACCCTATATTTAACGCTAACCCATCACCTCAATGTTCACATCTTGCACCATAAAAGAGAACTGCCAATACACTTTGGGGGCTCAGATGTCTATTCACAGCCCACTGTATTGGTACCTTGGTTTTGTACACGGCTGTAAATTATTAAGGCTTAGGGTCTCAAGGGTTCAAGGATTTGGGCCTTTAGGGTTTAGGGCCGTGCATGGTGAGAAGTACCTTCGTAAACTGACCATTGTTGTGGTTATCGGCGTTCAGAAAGCTCAGGAGAAACCCAACAACCCAGAAGCTAAACCCTAAACCCCCTAAACCCTAAACCCCAGACCCTAAGCCCAAAAGCCTAAACCCCATCCCCCCCCATGTTCCACCGGCAACAGCTGTTCCCAACCTTCGAAGACCCATATCCTCTGAAGCCCGAAACCCAGAATATAGTAGTTCATGCTGTTCCAGATAGCTAGTAGCCCTTATGTGTAATTTCAGTTATATCTATATATGAGTGTGTATATATATATATATATAATTATATTCATAATTATATTTATATTTTATTAGTATATATATATATATATACACATGTATGTATATATCAAAGGAGTCCCGTTCCAATCAAAGCGGCCCCTACACTCTCCTTCTGGCCGGAAGAATCCAGGCTTGAATCACATACACGTAAAATTGCAATGTTTAAAGGTTTGGAATTCAAGGGTTTATGTAGGGTTTGGGGTTTAGCGTTTTAGGGTTATTGGTTTAGGGGTTTGGGGTCTGGGAGGTTGGGTTTAGGGTCACCTGCATCCACATGTCCTCAGTCTACACAAGGCAACAAAGTGATACTCAGAATAATGGGAGTGGCTGTCATGAGGATAATATAGAAGCTTAAATGATTACCTATACTATTTCGGATAGAGGGCCCCACAACCCTATTCTAATTGTAAAGGCTCTACATTATGAACTTTGGTACAGGACCTTGGTTCATCTTGTTCAGACTTTTGGCCGCAGGATGGGGTCCTTATACGTTTCGGGTGCAGGACGGCAGATGATGCGCTCTGTGCTGGTTCGGTTTAGGGTTCAGGTTTTAGGGTTTAGGGCGACTACAGTCGAATGCTCTGCGGCCTGAAGCCATTTATCATCGGTGCTCTGGCAGCGCGAAATCCTGAACCTCAACCCTAACTGCAGAATGCATGTGTGAGCTGTAGAGCTCTCCGTGCTTACTCAGTTTATGCCGCGAGTGAGCAGCCCCAAACCCGTAACCCTGAACCTAGACCGTTGAAACCTCAAAGCCTTGAGTCCCTAAACCCCAAACTCCCTCAAGGCCCCTAGAGCTATAGGGTTTAGGGTTTAGGGTTTTACACCGAGGAGGAGGTGAGACGTTTCGATGTGAAGCACGAATCGCTAGAGCCGCCCCCCCAACCTGAAATCCCGGCTGACCTACGCCATGGCGTCGACAGCGTGCGGTGCTCAGCGTCCGAGTCTGCAAGGAATGGTTTAGGGTTCAGGGTTTAGGGTTCTGGGTTTCGGGGTTATAAGCAGTGGTATGAGTCATGAGAATACAGCCCCCAGGCACTTCGCTTATAATGTGGGCGACATTGTAAGCCTACTTAGCCTACTTATACTTATAGGTACCCATGAATCATGAACCTTTACGAAAGGTGAGATGCGCAGGATGTGGGAGTCTGGTGCCGGGTATTCTGACCCGTCCATGGTGCTAGGGCTGCAGTATCCATATGAAGATCCAGAAAGCTACTGTAGGGGCCTTCATAATTGGAGACGGGTGTTTTTTGGTAGTATATCGTAATGTTTTAGAGGGACTAAGAACGCAGAACCTTACCGCAACCACCACACCCTCAATCCATCCATGTTCCCCCGCAAAAAATGTGTGCGTACTATGTGTTTGTATGTATATATGTATACATGCGCATATGTACTCACACAAGTATATGTGTGTATATATATATGTATATAGACATACATATGTATGTGTGTGTATATATATATATACACACCCAACCCCAGACCAAGCAAACCTTGTGCCGGTTTGCGCGGCAGTAGAAAAGAACAGTTAAGAAGACGGAGGCAAGTATCAGCAGCACTTACTTTAGGAATATGCTTACGACGGTAGATGTCCTGCTCCCGTAGAACAAGCACCTTTTCTGAGAAAGCCGATGCCGGCCTCCCTAGACCTTACCCTTAACCCTAAACCCCGAGGCCCGAAAACCTAAACCCTGAACCCTAAGCACCGTAAACCTTAAGCCCTAATCCCTGCACTCTCAGAAAAAACCTACCTTGTGGGGGTTCCTGAATATGACGTCTTTAGTGAAGTCATTAAGATAGGTAGGTCTTTCTGGGGATCAGATAGACCTTTAATCCGAAACACCAGAAAAGGTCGATGCTGGTCATGGATACAGACTGCGGCGTGATTAACTTGAAGCTCAGGCCATGCTCTTCGGACAGTCTGTCTCTGCCATGGTTTAGGGTTTTCCCTATCTCCTGATAGCCGGCCTTTTTCTGCACATTTATACGGAAAACATAGTAAGGAACCCTGAAACGGTGTGATTTTGTGTGTTGAGGTTGGGTTTAAGGCTTAGTCCTTAGGGTTCAGAGTCAGAGTTTTGCCCAGAGTCTGCAACCCCAGAACAACCTTTATAAAGGAATATACTTCAATTTCTGAGGAATGTGTGGTTTGTTCCTTAAGTAAGTAGCATACCTCAAGTCTTAGGGATTATGAACATGGTTTATGGCATATCAACCTTATGCCAAAAGGTGTTGGTGTCTCTGGGTGGAGGGCGTGAAGCTACCGTGGACATTCCTGCAAGACACCGGTTTAGCCGCAGCTCGCTCCAAAGCTTTATGTGGTGAGCTCTAAAGCCTAGGAGAGCGGGTCTTGATGCTTCATTGTGGTTTTCGGGTGCAGTTGCAAAACTATATATAGGTCAGGCCTAAAGACTTTGCGTGCTAGGACTTAGGATCTATGATGATGTATGTATGATGCGCTTTTGTTTGGGACTCTTGAGTCTTCCAGAAAATCCGAACGGTATGGATCTGCCCCGGCTGTGCTCGAAGCTGCTCTCGGACAAGTGCATCGCCCAACCCCGGGGGGTTCGGGCTTAGTGGCTTGGCGTTTAGGGTTTAGTAGAAAGGGCTTTCGGGTTAGGATTTGGGGTTTAGGGTTTAGGGTTCAGGGGCTTGGGATGCATTTGGGGTTGACGAGCAGACACAAGACCGCACGAACAAGCACAGAGTGCAAAACAGAGCTTGCGGATTCTGAAATTGAATTTGTATCAGAATAGATTCAATAGCTGACAGCCAAAAGGGGAGCATGCGCAACATGAGCCCCAACGAGCATCCAGGGAAGTACTTGAGCTTAGAATTCGCTAGGGTTCATATTCCCCCTATGCCTTCCAGCCTCAACCAAAACCGCAACCGCAGATAGCCCCTCTTGCCAGACGGCCCCGTTTGACAGCTTTGTCTGTTCTGACTAAACCCTGAACCCTAAACCCTAAACAATAAATCCTAAACCCTAAACCCTTAAACCCTAAATCTCTGAAGCCTAAGCAGTTGAAACCCGCAACCCACCTCCCCAAACCACCCTAACAAAAAGGTCGGAAAGCTTAGCAAATAGCACCCCCTCGTAGTCCCTAAGATCCTTCTGACAGCCTAAGATGTCCCAATACCCTACTTCACACCTGAACACCCGTTGCTTTAGCCCCTAAATCCCCAACTCCCTAAACCACCGTCGCTGCGGCTCAGACATGGCCTCTAGGCGCCAGAGAACCCCAAGGGTTCCGCCGTCCAAGCAGGCAGCATTTCGAACTTGAGCGTAATAGGGCTCGGGATCTAGGATTTAGGTTGAAGTTAAGGCTCTAGTTTAGGGTCGAGGATTTGTAGTTATTCTCCTGGAAGCATTGTGGTAAAGTTAAAGGTTTCCTTCCGGGTACCTTCCTAAGCCCTAAACCCTAAGCCCTAAACCCTAAAACCTAAACCCTAAACCCTAAGCCCTAAGCCCTAAACCGTTTAGGCTTTAGGGTCTAGATTTTTTAGGGTTTAGGGACCCCATCACTCTACAGACCCGAGCACTTCTTGAACCGCACCACTAGACCTCCACTTCCACAGAGCGTCTCTATGAAAAGCCGTTGCATGATGCCGCGCTGCTTGCCATGATCGATGACCCGGCCCAGATCTTAGCGCTCAGAGGGTTTGGGAGTTTAGGGGCCGGGGGTTTAGTGCTTAGGGTCTAGGGTTTTGGGGTCTTTTGGCTTCAGTGATGAGATTTGGTGGCCGTTTCTTTGCTTTCCGGTCGTCCTTCTTGGAAGTGGGAGGCGCGAAGCGGGTTTTTGTAGGGCCCCTACAAATTCACTCTATATAAGGCTTTGTAATACGAACCTACAAGAAACGATGGTTATGGCAGCTTTTGGCAGTGCCTGGGCTTCAGTTCTTTCAGTGACAGAATTGACGATCGTGTTGGATGCCGACAGACGGGAGATGCCCAGACCTTCCAACATCCCTTAGTGAAGGAATGTACTTGAAGTTATAGGAGAATCCCTAATCTGATGTACATTGTAGTAGGATCCCGAATATGCCTTAACTTATAGTAGGATCCCTAATTTTACGCCTTAAGCCCAAAGCCTGAACCCTAAACCCTAAACCCTATTCCTTAATCAAGGACTGTCTGGGTGACAAGACGGGGCCAGATGTCAGCAGTTCTCCAAGCAACGCGGGGAGCCTCCCCCAAGGAGCTGCTTGACGGTTTAGGGCTTTAGGGCTGTAGGGGTTTAGGGGTTTAGGGTCTAGGGGTTTAGGGGTTTAGGGGTTTAGGGGTTTAGGGGTTTAGGGTTTAGGGTTTAGGGTGGGCGATTTTTCCAGCCCCGCTCCAGCGAGAAAAGCCGGCTTACTTCGCACGCGACGAAGCAGACGGTTTCTGATACCGTCGAACCTATCGCCCAGTCAAGAACATGCGAAGAAAGCCCAAACCTAAGTACGACTCGAAGCTTCTCGCCAGACCTCTTGCCCCAGTATTGCAAGGGTTTCCAGCTTGGGGCGGTTATTTGCTGTTTCAAGTTCTTTCGCTTGGCTACAGGTTGAATTCTCTGCTTTGCTGCGGGTTGAATAGGGGTCCTTCAACCCCAAACCCTAAACCCTA